AACGGTGTAATATGGGAATTTTAATCGCCCTCATAAATAAAGGCATCGGTGTGGGGCGACGGCGACGGCGGCGGCTCGGCGCGGGAGTCGCCGCGGCCCCGAATCGTTGCATCATTAACTTAAAACACATCATGTCGATTCGTAGATCGCCACTCAAGGTCTTGGCGCAATACACTTTTATTTAAGTAATTACTTAACAGCGGGGGCCGGTACCACCCCTCCAGCGTACTTACCGACGATGCTCGGCTCCATTTTTTCAATAAATATCCAGACTCTTTCCCAATCAAGTTAAAGTTAAGCATAAAAAGTTCTTCTGAGACATGACAACACGCACACACTCACAAATCGCCACTCCCAAGCACAAAGTTTATCCAAACTTTTTAGAACTAAAATTAGTGAGAACAATCCATCAGACACACTCTGATAGCGATCACTAAATAATTCATTCACTTTTAAGCACAAGAAATATCACGAAAAAGGAATATTAACAGAAAGCGTGGAAAACATTATGACGATCAGACAGCAACTTAGTACCGAAACTAAACACAAGTGACAGATTCAGTGTTGCTAACTCTAAATGAAATTAAATGCTACAATTTATTAAAAATAAAATAAACTATATTTTTGTTAGTTCTCTAATAACGTCAATAAAATGTATTAAGATTACCTTTACTTTAGACCTTACTATCTAATTTATCTTTCAAATTATTAGGATGATGAACTGAACGAACAACTGTCCATGTTGTTAGTCTGAGCATTTACGGAATATATGACCATTTTAAACATAATACATTTAAATAAGCAAATATTGTTAACTAAGATTTAAAAGAGTAGCTATTGAGTTTCTTGAGAATTTTTCTAAGCAGATAATAACATTTCAAATCCAGCAGTCCAATCAGCAGTCTAAGTCAATAACATTTCAGATCCAATGGAATCAAACAATTTGACAAAGCTTGTGAAAAAATGTATTTGAATGGTGATGATTTTGAATTCGAACTTCAATATTCTATAAGTGAATAAAAATTAACTTAATATAGGCTTCAAATATTAATTTTAAGTTGTTTGTTTACAAGATTGTTTCTTTCTCATATAAAGTAAATTGGACTAAGGAAATATTTTTCAGAATTCCATAACATGGCGTGCTCTGCCTGAACGGTTTAAAATAAAGGCCTAAGATTTGTATTTCGCGACATCAAGTTTCTTAAAAAATATTAGTGCAGTACTTTCCCACCAGCCAAACTACTAGCCTTACTAAAATGTGTCGAATAGTTTAAAGATTACACAAACAAATATTGCCCCGTAAAAGCCGGAGCAGGTAGCTTTTTTTTTTACAACACAGGAGGCAAACGAGCATGCGGCTCACCTGATGGTAAGTGACTACCGCCGCCCATGATCACCCACAACACCAGCGGCATTGCAGGTATGCTGCCGGTCTTTTAAAAAGGAATATACTCTTTTCTAGTAACATCATGCTCTCTGTAGGTAGCTAGTAATATCATAAAGCAGGTGTTTTATTAACTAGCCAAATAACTTGAAAGAGCTTAAGAAAAGGTCTTTATACGTGTTTATAATATAATAGAGTCAAGACTTACATCATTATCTCATCTGAATAACCTAAAGGAGTACAACAACTAATGGACGTTACGTGCTTACGTACGTACGTATGTATGTACGTATATATAAAAAAATCTAACTCCTAATCATTAAGAAGTTGTTCCTTCCATCATTCGCTTAACAACATGAAATAATGCTACCAAATGCAAAGTATCTGAATAAGTTTTGAAAAAATATGCAACACCAAATATGTATGTGCCTATAAAATTTGAGGATTACTCTTGATTTCTCTGAAATCCCATCATCAAATCCTGACTTGATGACTCTTCCTCAGGAGAAGTAATATTCTTTCGAATACAAAAATAATTTTCAAAATCGAACAATTGACGGGGAAATTGGTGAGCTAAATAGAAAAATATATAGTTGAACATAGAAACTCCTCCTTTTTGAAGTCGATTAAAAATGTGACTTTTCTTTTTCAGTGCTAAACTTGTTATATATTGCTAATTTAGCAATAAAAAATTTCATCTAGCAACATTCTAAAGTTCGATGACACAAGTTTTGATACCGGCGCGCGATATTCGAAATAAACAATTGAAGTAATTTCAAGTTATCGAAAATTTTATTGATTTAGATGTTTATATTAGAAAGTCCGTATCATTGATTACTTGATTACAATTATTATATTTATTTATTAAATCAGTCCTCAGTATCAAATATTGATACTCACATGTATACTAATGGTAGTGGAATAAAATAAAATATGAAAGTATCTGAAAGTATAATCAACTAACCAGTTATTGATTTTTTTTTTTTATATTCTCATCTATTTTGTTAATTTCCATTTACAAATCCAATGATTGAAATAATCAGTCATGGCCGAATGCATGTTGTTAACCAACATCAAAAAAGGAGGTATTTATCAATTCGGTTCTTTTTTATGTTTGTTACCTCAGAACTCCGCCATTTACAAACCGACTTGGAAAATTCTTTTTTCTTTATTTGAAAGGATATACTTTGGAACCAATCTGTTCCATAGAAATATATCAAAATTAATTCAGTAGTTTATAAAACAAAATGACTAGTTTTGCCATGATGAAGCGACTACACGCTTTTATGTTGAACAAAATATTAAATTATTTAAGAAAATATTATACTGTTATTGATAATTTACTGCGGAGTACTGGTGCATACACGTAGGTACATATAAAGAAGGGAAGGAATTCTCGGTCATGAGGTCTCCTGGTTTTTGTTTAATTAATGTAAATGAAATGGTGCTCCCGCTTATATTATATTAACAGTATACAATGGCGGTCCACTTGTGGAGGATGAAGCTGTGTGGATTGTATAATCCGTATTGAGTAAAATTCTAATAACCATGGAAACAACAGAAATACTCCTCAGGTTGACCACTAGATGGAGTTGTTATTTTAGTATGTGTGTATATGTGTGTGTGTGTCTGTGCTACAACGCGATATTTTATTTTTGTTGGATGAAAATGGAATGGCAGCTTCACCTGCGCTACCGGTATACGCTGGCGGAGCACCAGTGAAGGGTGATCGATGAAAATGAAAACAGGCCAGTTAGCCCAACATGATGAATTCATCAGGAATTAACCATAATAGTTTCCAAGGGGAACCGCGAGGAGGTCGACCTGGTTGGGTATATTGCTAGCAATGGGATTCTCAGTCTCCATTACTAACAATCTCATTCCCCCCACAACGCGATATTAAAATTTCTAACAAGAGTATATAATACTATAATAATATAGGAATATATTGAAAATAATAATAAAAATCTCATGTGGTAAACGTTAAAGGTCTATTTATTTTTTGAAACCTAAATTAAACCGTACCTATACTCTCGTGGATGTGAATAAGGCTTTGTTTATCGATAAAGTCAACTTCATGTTCATGTCCCATTCAGCAAGAATTAACCACACACGGTTTACAGAAAGGGACCACAGATACATCGATTTGAAGGGGTATACCACTATCTATGGGGACTAGTGGCTCCATTACTAATAATCTCTCGTCCAGTTAGACTAGTACTATTGGTAGACGTAGAGCATCCTGGAAATCATCATTCTTAATTCTTGATGAATTTGTCAGGATGGTCTGTATACCTTTACTTTATCCTCACCTATTATCACTACCTGGTATCCAGCCAGTGCATACCGATAACACGATGATTTCCAAGGGAGTGCAAAAGAAGGATCCCTTTAATAACAATTCCCTTAAAATAATTAAAATATTTCGACTTGCGAACAATTGGGTAAGGTAATAGAGCACAGTCATTCATATTACCTATTGGATTTATTCTCTTATTTTTATTTTCTTTTTACGCATGCGTAGTGCAGGTAAAATAAAACCATAACAAAGTCAAAATTCTATAAAATTTTCACAGCATAAGTTTGTTCAGTGCATAATTCCTCAAAACTCATATTCCGAAGCCATCTATTTGTCAAATAGAGTATCGCTCTAACTTGACAATAGATGACGTTACAAAATAAATGTGATAAAGTTCTCTGCAGATTTATAAATGTTTAAAGATAATGTACCACAGGGAGACTTTGTACAAAAGTCGATTGCTTGGGTACCTCTGTCCCATTCGTGTTTCAACCGTGAAGCAGTTGTGTTTGTATGACTGTGTTTAGGTTTGAAGGGTGGGGTATGGCGTGAATTTACTGGGTACAGAGGAATAACACCTGAGGCTTCAGGAATGGCAACGCATGGGGGTATCATTGGCGAAACAGTATACTCTGTTATGTCCATGGTACTGCTCATGTTTATAGGCGACGGTTACCACTTTCCATCAGGTGGGCCGTCAGCTTGTTTGCCATTCTAAGTTGTATAAAAAAAAGTGTATAAATTGATATCGGCATTTAAATAAAAAAACTAACGTATTGGCTTTTAAGTGTCTCAGAAACATTGGGCTCGATACTGAGGCGCCAATTCTCTAAACATTTCCTAACAATTTCAATTCGATATCGCAGATAAATTTTATTGTAAGAACCAATATGAACTAAATTTCTAATATGTAGATAAAGTCAATATTAATATAATTTTAATTTGTGATCGTCCATAAAATAGTCATTTCGTAAAATTATCAAATTAAAATATTAGATATAAATTTAGAGAAATGGTACCTCAGAATCGACCCCTTTGTATAAATTCTTTACATGTGCCATAGATGGCGCTAGCAAACCGCTCGATAAGGCCCGATTTTACAATGTTAAAAGTTTAGAGATATCATACTACCTAGTGCCTGTGCATGTTTTTTTTAGTTACAATTGAACGTCCCACTATTGGAGATTAAGTACCCACCAATATTAGCACTAGAGTGAATGAGGGCTAAAGAATTTCTTAGGAATTTTTAAACATAATCGGCAATAACAACTCTTAGTCATAATTTTTAATTATTATAATATTTTCTTACGAACTTACATTTGCTGTGGTTGACATGTTTCTCGTACGGTGTGTATGCGTAGTGGGGCACTTCTCCCACCTCCACCACCCATGTAATCTTGCGCTGCGCGTGCGCCAGCAGCGGGGAGCCCGACTGCATCTCCTCTCCTCTAGGACTTGCTGCTGCTACACGGCGCTGTGCTTGTCTCCTTCCCTCAGCCTCTCCGGTCCTCCGTCACCAGTCACCTGCGAGCTGCCCTGTGAGCATCTCGTCACAGTACACTCAGAAACACTGCACTACTGCACTGCACCGCATTGCACACACCACAGAATTTGCGCAGAGAGATAGCGCGTGCGTCGTTTCACTATGTTCACTCAGTGTATTGAATATTCATCAGCATTGACGTGTTTAACCCACATATCAATAACATAAACGGTTTCGATGTTTTTGTTCGGTTTGAATTCCTAGCAACTATGTGTCAGTATTGTATACTCATTTAACAGTCTATTATGTAAAAATTTGTAAATAAAATATATACTAAGGGAACCTGGGCACTGGCAGATATTAGTTTATCAAGTGACTTCAAAGACTTAAAGAGTTTCGGCATTGAATTCTGATACAGGTCGAGCCTAGCTGATCATCTAAGCCAGTGAAGGGTATCTTATTGACCGCGACAGAATGATCGTGTAGCGATAATATACAAAAACACGAGACTTTCGCCGGCGAGCGGTGCGGTGCGGTGCGGTGCGCACACGACACGCACCTAGGCCATTACTTTGCTATCGCGGTTATTTTTAGGTATGCAGTTCACCTTGACAACTGGCTTTGAATCCATAGGTGAGGGCGCGTGTTCCGCCCGCGATGCAACCCACTTGTGTCCGCGGTTCGCAAACTGCGGCAGCCACATCTACCTATTTACCTATCCCACGAATAGTAATACACTAATATGTAACTATACAATTTGTTGTAATCTGACTCAAAAATTCAAAACTTATGTTTTGAACATCTAGAAAACCTTAATTTCTTGTTCTGACGTAGATACTTCTAGACCCCACGGGTTTTGTACATCTACACAAGTATAACTTGTTCCCTATTATTAAATTACTATAAGTCTTTATTTTAGTGCTCGTAGAGGAAAATACTGTATGAGTTCATATGTTACGTTGCAACTCTTCCTGTCAGCTGTGTTTTCGTGGCTGTAATAAAGTACTCTAACTAAATGGATAAAACTCATATGAAAGCAGGTATCTGACATTATCAGACAAATTGATATGCCTACTAATTTAATTTTTGCCTAAATTTTCTGGGTTCCAATGATGGTAATGTCCGTTAACGAATTAAATTAATCCGATAGATACCGACATACTACTTTTATGCTACCAATCTATGTTAACGTATGCTACGTCAGATTCAAACGTGCGTCGTGAAATATTTACGAATCAAATTGAATGCTCGTTCACCGCAACTTCAGTCCAATAATTTCTTTGACTATATCTGTGTGGTTTGAGGCTGCGAATACAGCTGGCATTGTTTGTAATTATTATTATTACTGTATGTTTTAGTAGAATAAACAATATTAATAGCCGTGAGCATATATATTTTATAAAAAAAAAAAATTGAAACCAATTTTTTTTATTTCTGATGGTTCATTCATAAATTTAATTTAAAACATGTACCATTCAGTTACCTAGTGCTGTTTAAACCATCTTATTCATCCAATATTCAGTAGTCAGTGCAATGAACAAATAAAATAGGACAGGGTCAAGCAGGCTGACTCGGGCACGGTGGAACAACATTCTTAGACTACTCAGCTCGGCCCAGGTGCGGTGGTGCGTCGTCGCTCGCGTAGGCCTCCGCCGCGCCGCCGCGCCGGCCGGCGACCGCGGCGGTGCGCGCGCGCTGCGCCTGCGACGCGCGACGTCACGACAATAGTCGCAAGCTCTCACAACATAACGTGACGCAATATTCAGTACGCGCGCACCCGGGCCTATGTTTAACTGACATTTTCCGTTTATTTTCAACTCTCACTTCTCAGTATACGAACATTAATCTATCTAATATTCTTCAAGAGATAAGTCTTGTCTGATGTACCTATTGACTCATCATCGCTAAGCTTAGATTATTGAAGTTTTAACTAAATAACTAACCTTTTTTATGATTCCTTTTAGTTTATTCCTATGCATGAGAAAAGAGGTACGGAAAAAAATCATAATTATCCCTAGCGATAAGACCGCCTGTTGTACCTTTATATGTATATTTTAACCTGTATGTCATGCTACTGTATTTCCGTTGAATTGTTTATATGTCATTGTTTATTTCTATGATTTTAGTGTCATAAAGAGTAAAATAAATAAATATAGTCTCTAAAGGAGAAAAGGGATTCTAAGTTGAAAAGGAGTCTATTTTTATATCCAATACCTAGATGCCTATGTATCTGATTAATTACTTATTTTACTCAGATAATCATGAAACTTTTAACGTCCATATTTATCAAGTTGGTCAACAACACATGTACCTACCAGATAAACACCGCACCCGATGAAGCCAAATACATATTTCATTTCTGTTGGAGTTGAGCGCTCAGCAGATTATCTGTCTATCAAACTCAATATCAAGTATTCGTCATTTAGTCTAGGCGTAACAATAAACAATCTCTTTTAATCTTTATTATTATAGTCTAGGCCAGATATGGGCGATTAATATTAAATTATTTACGAAATAAGATAACATAATTTCTCCTACTTATCATTAAAACAGTCCTCGCTTCTCATATCTGTGGATGATGAGATGGATCTGTGAGAGACTAATCCACGGTCATTCATGTCACTTGCCGCTAATCGGCAAAATGCAGCTTATAAATAATCTACAATAGATAACGTTATTTCATGTTTTATTATTAGAGACCAATTACAGGTCGCAATAAAAGTGCAGTGTCCTTTAGAGTGCAGATGTTGTTATACAAACGCGCAACATATGCCCGTGTGGCAACGGTGAGGTTGACCCGCCGCGCCGCGCCGCCAGCGACGAGACCACAACACAATGTTACGCAAAGAGTAAAGTAATCCCTCGTCCTACGTATGTATGATATGCACACTGTACTTACAAATTACTGTTATCTCATTTTAGTAGCCGTCGTGCAATTCGCTCTTATCACATATCTTAGCCACTCGCTACACCACTGAAATACTCAACCATTATAAATTTAAAAAAAATACCGCAGCACCGTCTTGTCGCTAATTGACTAGTGCTTGTACTCCCTATTTTGGTCTAGATAAGTGACAGACATATTTTCTTGCATTTTTTTGTGTAAAAGCATACTTCTTATACGTAAATAGAGAATCGTATTTATACCAATATTTGCATTATGTGAAGGTTGGGGACTTAAAACATCTCTAAAGCCAAACTGCGATTGCGAATCCGCCTGCCAATCGTGGCAACTACTGGCAAAACCCCCCAAGGGGGAAATTTATGTTCAGCAGTGGACATTTCAAGGTTGATATGTTGATGATGATCATGTGGGAGTTTGAACCTTGGTCTATGGAAGGTGAATCATTCATTATTATTCTTATGATTGTACACTAATAAGGAGCAATTATGTTATTTCACAATTTCTCATATCTTTTACATAATTATTTATCCCAATTTTTTACTTCATCGTAAATGTAACAAAAATACTGACAGTAAAAAATGTCTAATCTTACTTCATAAATCAAAATTCGGCTAAAAGCATTCTACCTATTCTATAATAAAATGTAGCAAAAAAAAAACTGGAATGTTCACTTTGAGTAGGTATCTGTATTAAATATTCATATATTTGTGTGTGTACGTTTATATCTCTATTAAAAACAGAGCACATATTTTAGACATTTCGTTAAAATAACAAATGGTTTTAAATTTCAAATTATAAATATAGTTAGGCAGTAATTGTAGCATCGATTTGTGAGGCAAATGAGAATAAGCGTGAAGTTCATGGTTTCATAACAAAGCAATCACCTCGCTAGCTGCGGACTCGCTGTACTCGTACCTACACTGTACACTGTACCTGACTACGTACTTACTGAAATTACAACCATAAACACTGACACAACTACAGACACGACTTATTACACGCGGCAGGTATTTATATTATATTATTCTAGCTGTTACCTGCGGCTTCGCTCGCGATTAAGTGTAAATTAAGGTCAATGGTTGTATGGAAGCCTGTAATTTCCAAAGTAAGAAGCATGAAAATTTATTCTGGTTACTAAAAGTTTATTGCGGCGTTTTTATTTTTCCTTGCACACATATTTTTTTTATTATATATTTGTATATTGTAGATTTCACATCGTAGTTTTAAAAGCTCCATTGAAAAATAACTCTTGAGGCTCTCTCTTATGTAACAAATGTCCATATAATATTCTTCTAGATAGTATGGACTTTTCCTGTATATTTAGCTCCAATTTACATTTTAAGTAATGCCAAAATTCGGGACTACGAGTTGTATAATAAATCCCTATATGACGTGATAATATATTAATCTATTTCATAATAGGATCTTTAAAACTTCATGATTACCATTTATTCATATGACAGCTTTTTACGGAAATCCGCAAGATTAGCAGCAACTTTGTATTTGTTCTAACAATTAGACATTATTAACAGTAATGAACAGGCTCATTTTTCGGATAGAAAAATTCTGGGCTCATAAGGTGGCCACTGACCCTCAGAAATTGTGGGGGGGGGGGGACGGATTGTTAATAATGGAGACTGAGAATCCCATTGCTAGCAATATACCCAACCAGGTCGACCTCCTCGCGTTTCTCCCTGGAAACTATCATGTTTTCGTTCTCATCGATCACCCTTCACTGGTGTTCCGCCAACGTATCCCGTTAGTGCAGGCCGGGTTACTATTTGCGCCCATAAAAAAAAGAACCTCAGAAATCGGTGCAAATGTTTCTCAAAATAATTGCGCCGAATTCTGTAGTAAATTATTTTGATATTTTGATTTGTGACGTATATCATCATAACAATGTATTATATTAGGATATTAGTATTTTTAAATTTTGTATAAAAAATACTTAGAAAAAGTATTATTGCGCACACTTAAAACATCGATTAAAACACAAAAATAAGTAAGGGCTATAACGTTATCTAATCAGGAACTGGCACTGCTGGCCTAGATATGGACGAACAAACCAATAAATTCCTTTTATCACTGACACAACATGTTATTTATCGTGAAACAATCATAATACCTATTTCACTGGTAATAATTTGTGTGCATGCACAGTCAATTGTCAAATGCGCGCGAACGGCGCGAAGTCCGCGGCGCGTCGTGTTCGGAGCGCGCGAAATTACGTCTCAACGGTTGACTGTGCAACTAGCGACTGTCAAACAAAACAGCCGGCTATCGATAAGCATTATTTTGATAATTAAAGCACCAAACACGTCACAGGTGCAGCTTTTATTCATTTATCTGTTATTATTATTATTCGTTATCAGTCGACCAATTCATTACATACACACAATGACACTAATAGGTAGTCATTTATTAGTTATCGATGCATCCACATTTAGAATGCAGTACGGTTAGAATCTGATCAAAGCAGATGCTACTTCTGTTAGTTAATTAACTTGAGGCACAGTAGTGTGCATGTTACTTTGCGTAAAAAAGGCCCAGTGTTCGATGCTCAGTTGAAATAATTTACGAAGTAAACTTTTCAAAATTGGCTCTAGTATGGCTGTACTAATTCTAAGTATCATCATTTGTTTTTCTATGTCTATACACTGGGATCTTAATTGTCTGGTTTTTAATAACAACACAGTGGAAGTTAGTGGGAATGAAAAAGCAGCTTTATTTGAATCGTAATATAACTCGTTTTAAACACCAAATACAATAATTTCAATAGTGGAGTATAAGAATAAAACTATAATTCGTGTAAAGCAGATTTATAATGAAAAAATACCCCTAAAATATTTAAATGACAGTGCAATCCATATCAAAATCAGTTGCGTAATTTAGATGAAGTAAGAGGAGAAACAGATAGACGAGGAGAGGTACTTTTTTTATACAACTGAGAAATAATAGACAGGTACAAATCGCAGACTTTTGCAGACAGATGATGCTAAATCGAAAAATCTATTATTTAATTTATATAAAATAATAATAATCATGAATACAAGAATTTAATATAAAAGCTACTTGTAGATAAAAAGATACTGTTAAAAATATCATTTGTCATAAAAATACCTTTTTCAAATTTCTCCCATGCCTGGTACAACTACATATGGCAATAATTTGGAGAAACACAGAAGTCGCAGAGTTTTACGCACTGATTACAATGATTCAAGGTTGGTTCTATTTCATAAATGGATAGCTTTTTGTCCGCTACTTCGTACGTGTGAATTTCAGAAGAAGGAAAATAATAAAATAGATCACTTCTGGATGCAGTATCAGTATAAACCATAATTCAGATTTTATATTCAGAAACACAACTGTGAAATGCATCCAATTTGATGCAATCGTTTTCCATGTATACACATGGTCTACTTACAATTTGATGATATTAGTAAGACAACTTCCTGATAAACTCGTGCTTGTAATAACAATTAACTCTTAGTGTTATTGGGAGTACAGATAACGTAGTACTATTGGTAGTAAGTATCATAGATTGGACATGGTGCAACATTCGCCTCGCCTAATTAGATGTTATTAAAATACAATCATAAATGTTGTGGAGCGAGCGAGGACGTTATCAGCCAAAGTTTAGGGCGTTGCTCCCGGCCCCGCGCCGGCCGCCACGCTCTCTGCCCGCTCCTAATTAGTTTTATAGCGTTTCTGTCGAGTGTCAGTTGAATTGGTGTCGACTTGTATCCGACGAGCGACACATGCTCTCCTCTCTCCGACATTTGCATGCAACTAATTAGATAATGGAATGGGCAAAATCCTCGCGGTACTATGGCACGTTCATAATTTTTCAAACCGATTTATGTATTTAGTAAAGTTATGCCAAAGGTGTTCTTCTCTAGTAATCTGTTAAGTTATGGAGTATGTACGAGTAGCACACCAATATGCGGCCCCAGCATCCCGAGCCATTGCAGTCGACGACTATTCCCTCCACAATTGTAGCGTTCCTCTTTCCCTTTTCCCTATAAATCCTCCATTCCTTTTTTACCAACTTCTTTAATTCACTCCCAACGTCCCCCTCCTTTTTCCTCGAACCTTTTCTCCATACCGTAAATGGCAGATACCATCAACAAATGCATTTCCAAAGAACGATGATGTCAGGCAAGCGGCTGGCCGTAAAACCAAAAGCCAAAACCTTGAGTAACATACATAAAAACATATTACGCCGACATCAAATAATTGAGATAAAGGCAGGACGATAATGACGCCTGTGACTTTTAGAAAAATATTAGTGCTTTTCAGACTCGCTTCCCCATAGCGCTGGAGCATAAAAATTAATAATCTTTAAAAAACATATGAACATCTCTGATCAAAAGTGAATCTTGAAAAACATCTCTGATCAATATTAACACCTTATTATATCTTGAGAAACATCTCTGACCAAAAGTGACTTTTGAGTAACATCTCTGATCAAAAGTGAATCTTGAGAAACATCTCTGACCAAAAGTGACTTTTGAGAAACATCTCTGATCAAAAGTGAATCTTGAGAAACATCTCTGATCAATATTAACACTTGAGAATCATCTCTGACCAAAAATGACTTTTGAGAAACATCTCTGATCAAAAGTGAATCTTGAGAAACATCTCTGACCAAAAGTGACTTTTGAGAAACATCTCTGATCAAAAGTGAATCTTGAGAAACATCTCTGACCAAAAGTGACTTTTGAGAAACATCTATGATCAAAAGTGAATCTTGAGAAACATCTCTGATCAATATTAACACTTGAGAATCGTCTCTGATCAAAAGTAACTTTTGAGAATCATCTCTGACCAAAAGTGACTTTTGAGAAACATCTCTGATCAAAAGTGAATCTTGAAAAACATCTATGATCAATATTAACACTTGAGAATCGTCTCTGATCAAAAGTAACTTTTGAGAATCATCTCTGACCAAAAGTGACTTTTGAGAAACATCTCTGATCAAAAGTGAATCTTGAGAAACATCTCTGACCAAAAGTGACTTTTGAGAAACATCTCTGATCAAAAGTGAATCTTGAGAATCATCTCTGACTAAAAGTGACTTTTGAGAAACATCTCTGATTAAAAGTGAATCTTGAGAAACATCTCTGATCAATATTAACGCTTGAGAATCATCTCTGATCAAAAATGACTTGAGAAACATTCTTGACCAAGATAGAAACATATTGCGTTCTCGTGAGATTTTGATAATAAACAATGAGCTGAAAATCTTTTATCCTGTGAATTTCCTAAAGTTCATTACGTACTTATCATACACTTCCTAGAGTAACACGGGTCGACACAATCGAAATAAAAATCATATGTGAAGCTATACATAGTAGTATAATATTTTTATATTATACCAGGTTAGCTTAATCTTTAGAAACCTCATTATGGCCTAAATCTGAAATAAATTCAATTGGTTCTTTTAAATCATTATAACAGAGGAATCCTCTATAGTCCTCATAAAAGGGGGGAAAAGGATTGTTAGTAATGGGGTCAAATAGCCTCATAACTAGCAATATACCCTGTCAGGTCGACCTCCACGTGGTTCCCCCTGGAAACCATCGTGGTTAATTCTAGTTGAATTCGTCAGGATGGGCTAACTGACCTGCTTTCATTCTCATCAGTCATTCCTCACTGGTATACCGATCGCCAGTGTATACCGATAGCGCAGACGGGCTTATCATACCATTGTCACCTATTAAAAAAAAATCCTCATAAAAAGTGGACCTCTTGTAGGAACTGTAAATACTTGGCACCTATAGCAAGTGAAATTATAAATGACAGCCACAAGTGATAGTCCACGCGTGACATTATAACAAATAGTTCTCACGAAGCCATCTCCACGCATGTCGTGTACACTGTACGTATAATAATTTCAGAGTATTCAATTTAGATGAATCTAATAGGCGATTCTTAATAGGTATGCGTTACTGCGAACAATGTTGGTCAAAAATAACGACTAGTTCCCTACAAAGTTACCTATGTTTTTCTACCATAATTGTGGTAGTAGTGATGTGTACAGTCGGCCATTTTTAGTATTCGAGTATTTTAGTACTCATTAAAAAAAATCGAATTTCAAATTGAGCCTGAGAAGTCGGACAAGTACCTACTCTAGTACTTATTTACGTATTCAAGTACCTCATTAGACACGAATAATTTTTTAATTTATTTCTGAAGCTTATTTTAATTGATAATAATTCTTCATTTTTTTTTTCTTTAATAATAATTAATAAAAAGTAATAAAATGATAATATAGAAACATCACGGGGCACGGCAGTAGCACAAGCATAGCCGCCTCATCCGTTTCTCAAAGCGATTTATTGCACTTTTGACCCCCATGTAACTTCATTGCGGATAAGGCAAAAAAATTGAATTTTAGTGATTAAAAAGAACGCACTGTAACTGGCTATATTGCCAATACATTTAATAATTATACCTCATAGTTTAAGTATTATCGCTAGTCAAAGTTTATTTGGTCACCGACTTTTATGCAACTTTGAATGGCATACAAGTTGATGGCCCACCTGATGGAAAGTGGTAACCGTCGCCTATAGACATAACAGTTCCATGAACATAACAGAGTATACTGTTTCGCCCATGATACACCTCTTGCGTTGCCATTTCTGAGGACTCAGGTGTTATTCCTCTGTACGCTGTAAATTCACTACTATAGGTGGGCTATGCCTTTAAACCGAAACACAACCATGCAAACACAATTGCTTCACGGTAGAAACACGAATAGGACAGAGGCGCCCAAGCAAACGACTTGTACAAAGTCTCCCTCTGGTAAATATACTGCTAGCAATCTCACAAATTTCATATATTGAATTTTATTACTTAGCATTTAGTCTAAAAGGTAAGAAAAAATTAAAAATACCAAAATTTCATTATTCATTTTCATTAAATGAAAAACAACGTTTAATTATTAAAAAATACTTTCTTATTTAAACCGTTGTCTATAGTTCAAACATTTCCATACCTTACCTTATAATATCAATATCGTCATTCCGCCAGCATGTTTGTCACTACGAGAACGATTGATCATTTCCGGGAACATCACAAAATTTCAATATAATACGTATAATTTGAGCTATTATTTAAAAAAAAAATTATCACATTGAAAAACTTTCATTCTGTTCATTTAATGTTACGGTAATAGCAATTTGTTTTTAACGTATTTTGCTAGCAGAAGATTTTATATCTTTTGTTTTCATTATTGATTATATAATATAGATACATTTTATATATATATATATATATATATATATATATATATATATATATATATATCTACAAGCACGAATACTAATAAAATATATTTCTAAAATAATATAATATAATAGATACAAACGAAGATTTTGTTACAAACTATCAACATAACATAAAATATGCGGTCTTATTGCTCTCAGCAATAAGACTGCCTCACTGTACTTATACAATTGTATCGTTGTGTTTGTAAATTGTCTTTCTTGCTTATTTCCTATATTGTATAATGCAAATAAAGTATACTCATTCATTCATTCAAATATGAAAGTGTGACAGCCTCTGGGCTGGAATACTGGCTTATTGTGTATATGCTTAGGAAATTGTACAAAATAACATTGTATTATATTAGTGGCACGGCTGACAGAAAGTCACTTTGTCTAGCTGTCTAACTTGTCAATTTTATCATTACACTACACATTATTGCGCGATCTCAAGCATACAGCAGCAATGAGACACTACGAAAGTTGCCTACCTATACACATATATAACACGTGAGGGGCAGTTTTTTTTTACGACTTGGAATAGCAATCAGGCTTACAGGCGACCCACCTAACGGCAAATGAGAGAGGGTAAAGGAATTATTAATAATGGCGGTGTAATAGCCCCCTTGTTTGCAATATACCCTATCAGGTCGACCTCTATGCGGTTTCTCTCAGAAATCACTGTGGTTAATTATTGTTGCATTAGTGATGATAACTGACCTGCTTAATTCATACTTATCATCTCTTACTGGTCCCCGCTTGTGAATACCGATAGTGCAGGTGAGGCTACTATTTAATTTTCGCCCCTTAAAAAAATTGCAAGTGAAAATCGTCGCTTACAAACCAAACACATCATAAAATATCTTGTGATGCCTCTATACCTTATCCCAATTATTATTTGGGATCCGCGTAATATGTTTTTCTCTTCAATTCTTCTTTATTCGCAATCATTTCCGCGTTCACTCCTAACAATTATAATACATTAAGAATGGTAACATACGTCACCATTCCTGATATATTATAATTCATGTCTTTATATAATAAAAAAAAAAGTCCGCAACAACTACAACTTAACAACTATAGTACTATTAGTGTTTCTAAACGCACCACATGCATGTACCATAAAGAAAGACTATGCAGGTACATTGTATTGTGCGTGTTGCGAGGTGAGCGTAGGTAGGTCATTTTGCGTGTTTTGGGACAATATTATGTGAGAATTTTGTTAGAACTAAAATGGTTTTCATATATCCGAAAAATCAATATTTGTTAAAAATATTGACTAATTAATTATATGACTTTATACAGTACATTAATTACGGTATCCATTCGTTAAAACTAGTGTTAGTATTAATTAATAAGGTCTCATTTGTACATATAGCTTTTGTACAACGAAAAACGTAACCTATATTTTTTGTTATACAAATTGTTATTGTACCAGTAACGAGAAGAAATCGGTGATATAGCTAGAAACAAAAAATAATTTGACCTCCGTGACATAATCCCGTGTCCGTGTTTGATTCTAAATTGTCTCGGGTCGGGGTTTTCCCGGTACCCAAATATTCGTTGTGTGGTTCCTTATAACACTACATATTTTATCAGGATCCAATAATAGCTTGAGGAGCAGGCGATTGGTGTTGATTACGAGTACGTTGCACTTATTATTTATTAATATTACTTCCCATCGTCTGAATAATTAAACGTTACAAAACTTTATGACATACACTTTGCTATATTCATTTTTGTAGGCGTTAAAATACGGTTAAAATAATAATATAAATAAGTACTTCATTTGTAAATTACGCAATTAAATTTAAAACTACGATAAACTATTCCAATTAATGTCTTGCTTTTCTTTCTTTGTTTGTTTATATTTACAACCTTTATACAAAACAAAACGACCTGGAGCATCGAGTTGTTCGTATTTTGGTGACCTTATTACTAACCAGAGATCCAAAGGGAGATAAGGTTTTGTATGTGCGAAGTTGGTGCAGCCAAAAGGTCGCGGTATACACGTGGCGGGAAACTAGGTGAGTCCTGGGGACGTCGCCGGCTACCACCGAAGCCGCGCCGAGCCGCCAAAGCGCAGCCGCCGCTTCGCTCGCACAGCCGCTGGACGTACTTAGGGAGTATGCTGTTTTTGTTTTTAATGGATAAAGATGGAACAATAACCTCATCCGCGCTGTCTAAACATGCTGGCGAGATACCAATGAGAAATGAAAAATGATATTCAATGACTGCGATGGTTTCCTTCAGGTTGAACCGCTTTAAGATCGACCTCATTGGCTACATTTCTAGCTATGGTACCCTCATACCTCTTTACTAACAATCCCTTTCCCAGAGCACGAGCAATGCTATTATTGTTATTATGGCACATATTATAAACAAGAACAAACTCACTTTTAGAAAACACTAATAACTATCACAGAGGGAGACTTTGTACAAAACTCGATTGCTTGGGCACTTCTGACCCATTCGTGTTTCTACCGTGAAGCAGTTGTGTTTGCATGGCTATGTTTCGGTTTAAAGGGTGGAATATGGCAGTGAATTTACAGGGTACAGAAGAATAACACCTAAGTCCTCAGGAATAGCAACGCACGGGGTGTACTATGGGCGAAACAATATAACCCTGTTATACTGTTTTTTATTATATTATTATAGTATATCTATATGGTACTGCTCATGTCTATAGGCGACGGTTACCACTCATCATCATCATCAGGTAGGCCGTCAGCTTCTTTGCCATTCGAAGTTGCATAAAAAAACACCATTATACTAATAAAAATACAAAGTGTACATAAATAGGGCTAACTTGATAATAAAACCCGGGATTTTATTTATAAATGGTAGATAAGAATCAGTTGGTTTGTAATTTTTCATTTAGTATCTTTGTAATTTTTATGCATATTATAAACGTCTTAATAATATATATTAAAAGAATATTAGCAGAATTTTGATTTTGATATCTTCTTAGTAAATAGGTAGGTTTCAGATAATGACATGAAATGATTTCATTCAAGAGTCATGACATGCTACATTATATTCAAGTTTGATGATAGGACAAAAGAACCTAAGATAACAATATAATAGTAGATAAACATTGTTCCATACACTAATACGCTCCTGTTCGGCGTCCGTACTGTAAACACGTACGGTGGTTGCGTGGCGATGGCAGCGCGCCGCGGGTACCAGCCACCGCGCCACTCCGCGCTCGGCGCCCGCCAGTCAGCAGTTGGCTGCCACCTCCGCCCGCCCGGCGCTCGCGAGTCACGGACCTTGCCTGCTGCAAAGCTCTGCTCTAGTTCACTTCCTCACAGAAGATATATAGACATACCAATACAAGAAAACGAACGCCCAGCAAAGATACAATTCGCTCTCATTTGTCTCATTTATCTAAACACAACTCTCCCTTTATGCCTGTAACTGAAATCAACCATGAACACGCATAGATCGGACGCTTCCACATCTACTGATGATGACATGAAGGTTTGTTACATTTACTTATACAACTAAACTTTACAGTACAGTAGAAGTGTAGTAACAGCCCGCTAAAGAGCAGCCCATCGGAGGTGCAGAGCTGATACTTGCGCGCGTTCGGTTGCAGGAACGTCCGCTGTGCCTGTTCTACTTCACGCACCCGTTCGGCGTACTGTCCCCGGAGCCGCCCACCGTGACCGCGGCGCCGGCGCACGTCGCGCGCGCCTTCATCAACATGGAGCCCGTCTCACCTTTCCACTTCTGGAACACCTCCACGAACGAGTCTTACAACACGGCCACCACCGTCACGAGCGTCCCAAACGAGCCCAGCGCCTCCACCTCCAAGCTCAAGTATGACTTGGGTAAAACAACGGTTCACAAGAATCCTGTTAACCTCGTGAGTGTTGCTAGAACTCGCAAGTGTACCATCGACTTTGGGCCCGGGCGTGATGCGGTATCGTCCTCGTTATTTTCCAGTGATATCTGGATCAGTTCCAGTTCTAGCTCCAAGAGTTACGAATACACTCGACGAATTATACCGTACCACAGAATCCTGCCGCCTCTACAGTTACCGCCCCCGAAGGACGCCTCGTCTTGGGAGAGTTCCGACGACAACACGTGGCCCGTGAAGTATATAAATCGTGAAAAGTTTTCTTTGCCCCCGATCGAAATGCCAACAGCCAGAGACAGTGAGGATATTATGAGGACTAAACACGTGCGCGCAGCAGACTCAGTGTCGAGCGTTGATAGTGTGAGTGGTAAAGTGAAGTGCAGGAGAAGATTGGGAGTGAAGAAACATAGAAAACGAGTGCAGTTGAGCGGCGTGCGGCGGATGGTCACCTGCCTAATGCGGAGGACGGTCAGAGGTATACTTTTACATTTACATCGATACTAAGAATATTAAAGGCGCGTAACTGTTTTGCGATTTTTTTAAATACCTACACAGATACCTACATCTAAACTAGCTCTTTTTTACGTCAATGCATGATTTAGAGGATTTTTATCGTCAGAGAAACTCCCACGTGCTTTATTTAAAAAAATGTACTATAAAGGTGTTATCCCTTACAATGGATTTAAAGAGTCTATTTTTGTAAAAGGCGAGAAATTTAGGTACTGTTATTAAAATATTTCCTTTCGCTGCAGTTCATTCTTCCTGCATTCTTGAATTCATCGAATACACAATCTCAATAATTTACACATTACTTGCGTAATCTGACGCTACGTCCCTCTAAGGATTAGATTATACTCGTAGAGGTACTTTTTATATATGTATTGGGACCACAACCGCAGGTACTATCCTCGTTAACGCCTAAAACCTTGACAATATATTTTAACGAACTGTATATTCTTGCTAACTGCATATATCAGGCGCTAATACCAGCCAATAATAATGTCACATTTGTTAACTTTACTTTAGGTAATATGACCTCTAGATAGAAAAAGGATTGTTAGTAATGAAGTCTAATGAACCCATTGCTAGCAATACACCTTATCAGGTCGACTTCCACGTGGTTTCCCTGGGAATCCATCGTGGTTAATTCTAGCAGAATTTGTCACGATGGGCTTACTGACCTGCTTTCATTCTCAACTATCACCACTCACTGGTGCCCCGTCAACGTATACCGATAGCGCAGGCGGGGTTGCCATTCCATTATAGCCCATTTAAAAAATTTGTTCTCTATGACAAACCAGTTCCTACTATCAAGTTCAATTAGTTAAATCCCCAACAATACTTATCTACACTAATATTGTAAAGAGGAAAGATTTGTATTTTTGTGAGTATGTATGTTTGTTATAAATAAACTCATAAAAATAAAAATTGATGATTTCCACAAATTTGACGTTCCATTGTTTCTGCCTACCCGAATGGAAGACAGATGTGACAGATATGTATGTATGTATGATTTCCACAAAAACAGTTATACGTATACCTAACTATCTCAGTATAGTCGAACTATCTAGCTCAGTATTGTTTAATATGTGTTACAAACTGGTTTCCTAAGATGTAGAATAAACTAGGACTGCAGGCTAACTAGGAGACTCGTTTGTCCACCTCAGGTTACAGCCGCGACCGGGGTGTACTCGGCCGACCGACACTGTGTCACACTCGTATTGTCCTTACATCGTATTTATCAATGTATAAATCACCCCATGTGTCAAGTTGGGATATAACCTACCCGTATATATATAAGGGAGTGGGATTGTTAGTATGGGGAGGTTAGTCCCTATCGCTAGCCCTTTATATACCCTATTATTAATATACCCTATCAGCTCGACCTCCACGCGGTTGTCCCTGGGAACCATCGAGACTAATTTATCGTTGAATTCGTCACAATGAGCTAACTGACTTGTTTTATCATCCTCACTTATTTATTTATTTATTTATAGGATTACCAACATAAGATACAGCGAAACATTTCAATACAGTACACTGGTAGATTAGATCTATCATCCCTCACTGGTGCCCCGCCAGTGTATACCGTTAGCACAGGTGAAGTTACCATTCCATCGTCATCCATTAAAAAAAAACTACCCGTATATATATATATATATATATATATATATATATATATATATATATATATATATATATATATATATATATATATATATATATATATATATAGGTAGTTTTTTTATATATATAGAAGGAAGGGATTGTTAGTAATGGAGAAGTTCGTCCCTATTGCTAGCAATATACCCTATCAGATCGACCTCCACGCGGTTCCCCTACGGACCATCGTGACTAATTTATCGTTGAATTTGTCACGATTAGCTAACAGAGTAAGAGATACATGTATAATTAATCTCAGTAAATCGGTTAAAAAATATATTTTCTCCTACACACTTACACCCCTATTATTACACCGTTAGAGGTTGAATTTTAAATAATCCTTTCTTATTACATTTGTAGATCATACAAGGAAATATTGTCTCTATACAATTTGGTACTCGTATTTCTAACGTTAGTAGTTTCGGCTGTGCTTTGATGAGTCCATAAGGATATTTTTGTGTACTTCATCCTTTTTTTTTACTCTTACAGAAGTAACTACTTACTACTCTTACAGAAATAACTTACTGAATTTTGAAAAATACTAAAATTCAGTTTATTTAGTTACATTTAAGAGTATATCTATTAAATTTTAATTAGCTATCGGTAAACAAATACAGCAATACAGTTTGCATAACATTTTTCTTAACCGTTCTTATATTTACACTCTTAGGGACTGAATTTAAAAAAAATCCATTCTTTATTGCTTCTGTAGGTTTTAAAAGGAAATTACTGTCATAATTTATTAATACCTATTTTAATAGTTTTGGCTGTGCGTTAATGAGTCAGTCAGTCACTTCCTATGTTACTGTGTATAGTTAATCACAGTCGGTCGAGCTCCCGGGCTCGTACACGATACCGCCGCTTAGACTCATAGCCTCACTCGTATCCTCCTCTTTAATACCTATGTCGGTTCCCATGGCAGCAAACTCACTGGCTTCCACATACTGGGTGACGTCGCACGCGAGCGAGCCGCCCGCGGGCTCGGGCCGCCTCGATCTTGCACCAGCTCTACTCCGCACCGATTTTATTACGTTCAGTATGTCCACCTTCGCGGTCAACTTCTCTTCGTCGGTCATCCGTTTGAAGGAGGGCACCAGAGACAACAGGAAATGCTTGTCCTCGTCTATGTGCTGTTCGCAAGCGTATGAGGTGGTTGACTGGCCCTCGGAGTCCGTCCCGTCCTGCGTATTGCCGTGGCGCGGCTGCGACTCCTCCTGAGAGCCATCGTTCGCCGCGATGTGAGGCAGCAAAAACGATAGGTGCTTGAAGTATACGTACTTCTTCTTCTTTAACTGCCCTGATTTGCTCTTCTTTTCTGACAACTGCTTTTTGAATGTGTCCTTTAGGTTCCGCCACCGCTTCGTTAAATCTGTAACTGTAGTATAATGCTACAGGTAAATAAGTCACAGGTTAGTATACAAATAACTAACGACTAGTCCAACTAATGTAATAAATGTATGTTTGTTACTGCATTGCATTTACACGTTCAACCGAACCGTTCAACAATTGCTTGAACTTGAAATGCATTTGAATGAAATTTCGTTTATAGATTGGTGATATTCTAAATAATTTAGGAATTTAGCCTATATTCCCAGCTTAACATGTAGGATGCTTTATACACTGTTACACGCGGGTGAAGCGCAGCGTGTATCAGTGTATGAAGTATAATAAAATATTAGCTGTACATAGGATATGTACGGCTAGTATTTTATACACAAAATTCCAAATTGGTTTGGTTTGACCGTTACAAGAGTATGGCTGAAAGAAGATTTATGAAAGAGATTTATCGAGCCCAAATAAATGGAGGTCAGAGTCAGTAGGTGTCGCTCTGGACGGACGTATGTCGACAAAATAAGCAACGTGCTGAAAAAGGGTCAAATTAAAAGTCCTTGTAATGTGTTCCATTACAAAATAAGAAATATTTACCCAGTCTACGTGTAGAAGGGAAAGGGATTGTTAGTAATGGGGTCTAATAGCCCCATTGCTAACAATATACCCTCTCAGGTCGACGTCCACGCGGTTCCCCCTGGAAACTATCATGGTTAATTCTTGTCGAATTCATCATAGTGGGCTAACTGACCTGACTTTTCATTCTCACCTATTATCTCTCAGTGGTGCCCCGCCAGCGTATACCGATAGCACAGGCGGGGTTACCATTCCATTGCCATCCTTTAAAAAAAATCTTTCGGCAGCGAATCGGGGACAATGTCCCATGCGATGTTTCATGTTCCGCTCAATGCCTGTTGAGCACAGCCATTAATCATCGGCGACTATTCCGATTCTGTACAATACTCTTTATGATATCTGTTGCTGGAGAGAAATTGTGTTATGTATAAATCCGGCCGAAACTCGTCTAGTAGCCGTCTAGTTAAAAGTCATCTAGTCGTAGTAGCTATTGTAACATGTAAAGTCTGCGCACAGGTGCTTAGTAGATATCTATAATGCTAAATTACATGCTACAGTAGTGCTCGTCAGGTCGACTTCCACGCTGTTTCCCCTGGAAACCATCGTGACTAATTTGTCGTTGAATTCGTCACGATAAGCTAACTGACTTGCTTTATCATTCTCACTCATCATATCATCATCCCTCTTTGGTGCCCCGCCAGCGTATACCGTTAGCGCAGGCGGGGTTACCATTCCATTATCACCCAATAAAAAAAACTGTTCGTCGTTTGAGCAAGGCGTCCGCGTCAGTCTGTGTGACCGTCTGAATGAGATCTTCCCCTGCTCTCCTCTGTACTATGAGTATGTATACTTACCTAAAGCACCTACCTAAATAATTTTATACATACCTTTAGATATTTTTTCGTACTCTGGAAACGAGTCCCAGTCAGGAAATAAAGATTTCGCTATTTCATTCCAAATTTTATTTTTTAAATGTGCATTAGCCCTTTCTGAGCCGTCTTTCCTATATAATGCCGGCCACTTTTGCACCTCGTGAATTATATCCACGGGGTGTATCTCTTCTAATAGTTTGCCTTTGCCAGCCATTGACTATAACAGGACGAGGCGCAAGATGTTATATGTAGTAACAATGAACGAGTCGCCGAGAACGAAACGAGTTCCTGTAGTACAGCAGTACTAAGCAGAAAAAAAACCGCGCTCCCCCGAGTGCTTCCGAAACTGTCCGAACACAACGAAGTGCGAGCCGCCGCGGCGCGTGACGTGACGTCGCGGTCGCGAGCCGAGCTCACACATGCACACACTGTCACTATACCAAGTAGATAAAATATAACAAGTTCAACAGGAAGATTATCACAATTTTTACTCGAATTCACGTAGTTTTAATAAACAGTTCCAAAATAAGGCTGTTTTCTCTTCGATTTAATATATAACAATAGTTAAAATTATAACAGTTCACTAAAGTCGCCAAGTTGTATACTAATGTGAACATGCCTGTTCGGAACGAAACGGCGCGGTGGAGTGCGGCGACTGGCGACTAAAATCAGTGTTGCCAGATCTTTATTTCACTTTGTCCTATACTTTAGTTTAATTATTGAATTTATTTATTAATATTATAATTCAAAGTTAATTGTTTGTATTTTTATCAGTTATTTTTATAATTTAAAACATTAATTCTCCAATTCGTTCAAAATATCGAATAGTTCTTTAATTAGTACTATGTATTTTATTAGATGTCATGGCTAACTTTGTCATGATTAATTTTAAGGAACCGAAGATTTATAAAAATCCATTGGATTTTGTGAATCTTCAGTTTCTTATGCTTTCGTCACGTACTCAGTATCCTCTAGACAGTGAGAAATCTCGCGCTTTTTCAAGTTATATTCATATTAGCGGATAGCGCTTTTTAATGGTCATAGGTAGCAACACTAATTCAATTAATTGAAAATTGAGTTTATTTACAGTGTAGCGCAGGTATCAAACAAGTTGATGAGAGTTTTTTTTAATGGGTGACAATAAAATGTTAGCCCCGCCAGTGTATACCGTTAGTGGACTGCTTTCATCCTCCCCTATAAACCCAGTGAGGGTTATATGTGAGGATGAAAGCAGGTCAGTTAGCCCATCGTGACGAATTCCACTAGAATTAACCACAATAGTTTCAAAGAAGAGGTTGAGGTTGACGAGGGTTCACGCCGGTACGTTATAACACTGTACGATTGGCTGTACAATTCGTTTATTAAATGCGCAACGATTCCTTGTCCAGGCAGACAATACAAATAAAGACAAATGAATTTTGGATGCATTTAAGGGGTGAGTATAAAAAGAATCCAAAGGAGCCGAGACGCTTCGGTACTGATTGCTTGGTGCTCGGTGCTAACAAAAACGCTCACTTCCTCAATTAAAAAAAAGAGTGAATAAAAAAGACTTTTGTTTTTGTAAATTAAGTTGCCGCTGTAGAATGTTTTTACATAAGTTTCTCTACTTGAGAATATTTTTTTCGCTTGTAATTATACGTATTCACACACTGCATTACGCAGCAAGTGCCCTACTACTACTAATAAACACAAATATGTGCCAATTTTTATTTTAATTTAGATTTATTAAGGAATGTTGCGTTGGTTTGGTCATTTGGAGAGGATGGATGAAAGAAGAATTACGAAAGAGATTTATCGAGCAAGAATGAATGGAGATGTCGGTAGGGGCCGCCCTAGACGGACGTATGTCGACCAAATAGGCGACGTGCTGAAGAAGGGCCAAATTAAAAGTACCCGTAACCGATGAGCGTGTATGACAAGATTGATGAATGTGGAAGAAGCGAAAGAGGTTTGTTTGAATCGAAGCATTTGGCGTTCCATTGTTTCTGCCTACCCTAATGGGAGACAGGCGTGACAGATATGTATGTATGTATGTATTTATTAATATTATAATTTAAATTTCTTTTTGAAAATTAGATAGGGTTGAAAGCCTTTTACTGAGGCGGAGAGGAGAGTAAAAATTGTAAAAAATGGGTCACATAGCATGGGTACGTTTCCCAATTGTCTACAGGGAGCGCCGGGTTAGGGAACAACTTTTTGCCGAGGAGTTTACCTATGGACATTTTTTGTCTGCACGTCGGCGCGCCCCTGGCGTTCCTTTCTTTATGATGTCGAAACGTCCATGGTTGACTTTTTATAAATTATTTGACGACTTCTGTGGCGCATGGATACATATGTTTCTTCATAATTCTCATAATTCGATTCTCGGTCGGATCAACATAATGAGTTTTAATATACTATGCATATTTTAAGTAATGATTTTTTTTTTAAATTCATTATTCATGACAATGCAACTAGTGTAATTGTGTGTCACTTATCATGTTTTTTATTAATTCACCTTTTGTAAGTCTTTCCAAAGTGTACGTAACATGGGTTCTTTTATCGTGCGGCCCCGGCAAAAAATGCCCCCCACCCCTTCCTTTCCAGTGGTTGTCGTAAGAGGCGAGTTAGAGAACTTAATGGTCAAGGGCTGAACAGCACCATCCCTCTTAAAACATCACCAAAGCCTAACTGCAGTTGCTAATCCTCTTGCCAAGCATAGCAACTACTGACAAACCCCCCAAGGGGTAGACCTTTTTTCAAAAGTGGACAGTTGATGGTTGATATGATGGTATAATGAGACTTTTTAATATGTATACTAGCGACATGCGCTGGCGGGGCACCAGTGATGAATGATAGGTGAGGATGAAAGCAGGCCAGCTGGCTTATCGTGATAAATTTAACAAGAATTAAACTTGTTTGTTTCCAGGAAGAATGACGTGGAGGTCGATTTGATAGGGTATATTGCTAGGAAGGGACCTGTTAAACAACATTACTAACACACTCCCCCCCTCTCTCAGTCGAGTGAACAACGCAGCTAAGCAAGAATGTTTACTCATGTACTCGAATGGTGCGTGGGTCAGCCTCTTGGCTGACCCGCTTCCTTGTTGTCGTTTTCTTGCTGCTGTCCGCCGGAAGCATCCAATACACGCCGCGACGAGACCCACACTTATCCACTCATGTCAGTTTTACTCGCGCAGTGCTCGTAATTTTATGATCATATAAAACTAAAGTGAAACGAATAAAGTAATCAAAATATTTCGAATCGTCCGCTAAATTTACACAGAGAAAACACGATCTTTGTTGAGCGCAGAGGAAAGAGGACTGTAATGATTCATGATCCTCCTTACTAACTAATACCTTTACGTTTTCCTTTAATACTATAATGTTGAGAAACAAGATGTTAGTGCTCCTGATACGATTGTATTTAAGTCTCCTTAGCATTTAGTTCATTCCGTAGCCACAACAAGAGTGTTCTCTAGGGGGCGCTTCTCTCAAATTGCATTAGATGAGGTGAATAATAGATTCCTTATTTTCTAAGCTTATACCATCGATGATCAAATCAAAAAATCAAAATCAAAAATAGAGAGTCAACTTGGCGAAGATCAATATGGATTTAGAACAAACAGAGGTACACGTGAGGCAATTTTAGCCCTGTGACTTATAATAGATAGAAGAATGGATTTAGGAATTAATACACATATCGCTTTTGTAGATCTGGAGAAGGCTTTTGATAGAGTAGATTGGAAGAAAATGATGGAAGTATTAAAGGATTCGGGGCTAGATTTCAGGGATAGAAGAATAATCTACGAACTGTATAAATATCAAGAAACTGTAATAGAGATAGGAGAGGAGAAAGGAAAAGCAAAAATTCGTCAAGGAGTAAGACAGGGTTGTCCATTATCACCACTCATATTTAACATATTTATAGAGACAGCTATAAGAAAAATTTCAGAACATACAGATAAGGGTGTCCAATTCAATGGAAAAGTAATTAAATTCATTAGATTCGCCGATGACATAGCAGCAATAGCAGAAACACGTAAAGATTTAGAAACATTATTAAATTTTATGGATAAAATTTTTAAGGAAATGTCACTCAAAATTAACACAAATAAAACCAAAATACTCAGTACTTCTAAAAAGCCAATTGAACTGCAAACCCAAAGTCAAATTAAGATAAATAATATACCTATTCAAAATGTTAGGAACTTTAAGTACTTGGGAAGTATAATCACAGAAGACGCTAGGTGCACACTGGATATTAAAACTAGAATAACAGTCACAAAACAGGCCTATGACAAGAAAAAACATATACTTACATCAAAAATATCCAAAATAATCCTTAAGAAATTTATAAAAACTTATATTTGGAGCATAGCATTATATGGGTGTGAAACATGGACAATGACGCAGAAGGAAAGAAAGATGCTTGAGGCATGCGAAATGTGGACATGGAGGAGAATGGAAAGGATAAGCTGGGCGGAAAAACTAACGAACGAGGAAGTCCTGAAAAAAAGTAAACGAGAGGAGGGCGTTGATTGAAATAATAAAGAGTAGAAGAGGCAAAATGCTGGGCAGGTGGCCCAGCATTTTGCCTCTTCTACGACATGACGATTTTTTTAAGAGCATAGTAGAAGGAAAGATAGAGGGCAAAAGAGGAAGAGGAAGACCGAGGATTAACTACATGGGACAGATAAAGGAAACACTAGGCGTCATGTCATATAGGGAGATAAAGGATATGGCCTGGGATAGAGCTGGCTGGAGGAAGATGCATGGATTGGTTGCACCGACAAGAGGAAACTCTTAAATGAAAATGAATGAACCATCGATGAATCATATATAATTTATTACAATAATAGGTATTATATAATAACACACAAGTATTTCTTGGTACACAAACTGAGCGCTTGTTTGCGGGAAACCCAACAACAAATAACACGGGATAAATTAGTGCATCGAGAGCCATTTGCGGTTAGAGAAGTTTGTTTCTAAATCAACTGGGACGAGTTTAAGTCCGCTTTTACATTTTCTATTACACTCTCTATAATTGTCTATTATACTAAAAAGGATTTCAACAATAGATCATTTTATTATTTAATGAAATACTGATCTCTTAAATAAAATCTAACAGACGTATTGGCCATTTCACCACGGAACCTTGGAAATTGCGTAATCAGAACTAAGTATGTACATATAAATTGTCATTACGTAGCGTCTTAGCCTCGTCTCGTCGTCCTAGCACACATAATATAGTACTGTACGGACTGAGAGACGAGTAATAAATTAAACCTATAGTGCCTACAAGCCTGTGTCTCTACATAAAATATTTTTTATTGTGTCGGTCTTGTAGAAATATAGACTATATTAATAAGTTATGTGTATTAGCACGTGTCGCGTAATAACTATTAAACTAGAAGACACTCGTTAACCGTATGGTTATAGTAATTTAGTACTACTGTAGCAATTTAGTCTAAACGTTTAATTAATTAATTAAAATAATTACTTTTAATTTATTATAAACAATGGATTTTACTATAATTTTGTACAAAGTCGTTTGTTTAGGCTCCTCTGTCCCATTCGTGTTTCTACCGTAAAGCAGTTGTTTGCATGACTGTGTTTCGGTTTGAAGGGCATATGGCAGTGAATTTACAGGGTACAGAG